AAGATTTTAAATAGTTCAACTGGAATGCCATCACCTCCACTGGCCTTGTTGTTAGCCAGGCTTTCTAAGGCCCACTTGACTTCACTCTCCAGGATGTCTGGGTCAAGGTCAGCAACTACATTGTCTGGGTTGTCCGGGATATCCAAATCTTTCTGATATAATTCCTCTGTGTATTCTTGCCACCTCTTCTTGATGTCTTCCACTTCTGTTAGGTCCTTCCCATTTTTGTCCTTTATCATGTCCATCTTTGTATAAAATGTTCCTCTAGTATCTCCAGTTTTCCTGAACAGATCTCTGGTTTTTCCTTTTCTGTTATTTTCCTCTATTTCTTTGCATTGTTCATTTAAGAAGGCCCTCTTGTCTCTCCTTGCTATTCTATGGAAGTCTGCATTCAATTTTCTGTAGCTTTCCCTATCTCCCTTGCATTTTGTTTCCCTTCTCCTCTCTGCTATTTCTAAGGCCTCATTGGACAGCCACTTTGCTTTCTTGCATTCCTTTTCTTTGGGATGGTTTTTGTTGCTACCTCCTGTACAATGTTACGAGTCTCTATCCAAAGTTCTTCAAGCACTCTGTCCACCAAATCTAGTTCCTTAAATCTGTTCTTTACTTCCACTGTGTATTCATAAGGGATTTGGTTTAGATTATACCTGAGTAGCCCAGTGGTTTTTCCTACTCTCTTCTGTTTAAGCTTGAATTTTCCTATGAGAAGCTGATGATCAGAGCCGCAGTCAGCTCCGGGTCTTGTTTTTGCTGACTGTATAGAGCTTCTCCATCTTTGGCTTGCAGAGAATATAATCAATGAGCCAGACTCCCATTAGCTAATTACACTGGCTTAAATACTTTTGGTGTAAATGGTAGCAATGAACTGCTGCAAGTTAACAAGTTGCTGCTTGTTTCACTCATCCATCATTTCACAAGACTGGCACACAGTGAGGAATTCAGGTTATGACTTGTTATTTGGTGGCCATTTGCCTCAGCAATGTATAATCCTGCATTTACAGCCAGCATAACTAATCAATAGGATTTTGATCATAGAATGTTTGCTTTCATGATCAGTAGTACAACTGATGGTCATTTTGATTATTATGCTATCACATTGCTTGAGTATAATGGATTTTGGTCAAGAATGTTTTACAGATGCTCTTTATTATTTATTCATTTAAAATATTTCTACCTCATCTTTCTCCTCAGGAGGGCCTAAGTTGCCTTACAATATTATGGCTTGCAAGATGCTAGCATACTAATAATTTATCTTTGTGATAAAACCCCATTATTCCAGTATGATATGGTAAAATCATTTTGTTTATTCAATAATTGGTTTCTTATATGTTGTTGTTGTTTAGTCGTTAAGTCATGTCTGACTCTTCGTGACCCCATGGACCAGAGCACGCCAGGCCCTCCTGTCTTCCACTGCCTCCCGGAGTTGAGTCAAATTCATGTTGGTAGTTTCGGTGACACTGTCCAATCATTTCTTCCTCTGTCATCCCCTTCTCCTCTTGCCGTCACACTTCCCCAACATCAGCGTCTTTTCCAGGGAGTCTTCTCATGAGATGGCCAAAGTATTGGAGCCTCATCTTCAGGATCTTTCCTTCCAGTGAGCACTCAGGGTTGATTTCCTTTACAATGGATAGGTTTGTTCTCCTTGCAGTCCAGGGGACTCTCAAGAGCCTCCTCCAACACCACAATTCAAAAGCATCTATTCTTTGGTGGTCAGCGTTCTTTATGGGCCAGCTCTCACTTCCGTACATTGGTTTCTTATATACTGCACAGTGAAATGCCTTGATTTTATTAAATAGTATGTTTTTTTCATGTAAAAGAGAAGTAGTATATATATTTTCTGGCTGATGAAATATTTAAGTGTCATTCCACAGCAAAGCCTTCATCCCATGATAGAAATTTACCATAACATGTTGCAAGAGGCATCATGTCCATCAAAGGAAAGAAATAGGATAGTGAATTAATTAACTGAATGATTTCACTGTTCCCTTTAGTAACTTAAGAGCCATGTTGGGTCCTCATTCTGGTAGAGAAGAAAAATATGAAATAAATATGCACATGATTTTTTTTAAACTTAGCTTTAGCTTAGCGTGTTGTTAATTGAATAATCTTTCTGACTTATACCCTTGTAATCATGTGTGTACTCTCTGTACACACATGACTGCACCCCATTGTATAACACAGACGCAATTATTATATTTGTGAATGGTATGAAAGTGGTGCAGCTGTATAGAAGACGCATTGTCTTCTATAAGCAGACAATGAGTGCTTATAGAAAAGAAGAACAAGGGCTGACACTATGGTGTAAAGAAAATAATCTTATACTTAACACTAAAGAACTTATAATTAACTTTAGGAGGAGGAGAGACATATATTTACCACTGTACATAAATGGTGAAGAAGTGGAGAGGGTTAGTAGTTTTAAATTTTGGGGTATCTGTATTTCAGAGGACCTCTCATGGTTTATAAATGCTAATATGCTGGTGAAGAAGGCACAGAAGAGGCTGTGCTTCTTGAGAGTGCTCAGGAAAATAAATCTATCTTAGCATTTACTTCTGTCCTACTATTGCAGTACCGTACAGAGTGTCCTAACATATGGCATCCTCTCATGGTATGGGAGTTGCTCTGAAATGAACAGAAAAGTTTTACAGAGAATTACTAAAGTTGCCCAAAATATCATTGGACTTCAGCTTCCAACCTTGCACAACAGCTTTGCATCTCACTACTTGAGGAAGTCATTAAATATTCTCAGAGGCTCTTCCCACCCTGCTTATAACTTCTTTGAACTGTTGCCTTCCGGCAGAAGATACAGAGCAATTAAAACTCGGACGACACGTTTTTTAAACAGTTTTCATCCTAGAGCTATAATTGCACTTAACAAGGAACTTAAGAATTACCAGAGTTGTTGGACTCTGTTACTATTACTTGATCTGTTGTATTGTATGTTGTGTGGATACTATGAGCTTTAGGCAGGGTTCTGGGATTTAGGGATTGTTATGAGGGTGTGTGTGTGTTTTTGGTCTGGTGTCTGAGTGTTCTTTGTGAATTTTGTTGTATGTGTAAACAGTGTATATAATTTCAATGACAATAAATTGAATTGAATTTATTTAGTTCACATTTTTATAGGAAAAGCAGGTTCTGTGGACTAAACATTGGTATTTATTTCTTGATGCAGGATAAGAAATGGATTCTCAATCATGAAGATGTCACACTGGGAGAATTACTGGGCAAAGTGAGTAATCATCTGATCTAAATGAGAAAAAAAGAAAACAAAGCACATCTTAGCTGTGGCCCCCAAAACAATACAAATGCAGGAATAGGTAAAATCTTTATTGGACCATTAAGAAAATAGAACAAACAAATAAAGCAAGCTTTCAATTATAACTCATCTTCTTCAGGCTATACACCAAGTTCTTGTGGGTACCTCCAAATTTATATGTTTATATTAAATTCTCAAAAGTTTTATGGCCACTGTTGGGGGCCAGGTGTAGCTTGTTAGATGGTGATAGCTGTAGTCTGCAGCTTCTTATAGCAAAATACTCATGGCAATTATATTGTATACTTTGCCCTGGAAATGCTTGTTCCGCTTCAGCCTCATGTTTAAAATGCCCATGCATTTTTGCACCTTAGAGATGAAGGTCGACTCATGATATGTAGAGAAATAATAAGCAGGATGCTTAACGTTTTCCATGTCCACCATGTTTCCCCACACCCTCCCCATGCAGTTTCTAAATTCATACAGTGAAAACACGGGTCTGGAAATCCTGTTGGTGGAGAAAAATGCAGAAGGAGGGCTAAGTGCCATTTTGACTCCTCACTACTTCTCCTCTGAAAACTTGGTTAGGAAAGAACTGTGCAATGGAGAAGCAACGGGCAGGGGTAGAGTATCTAACTCTTTTTAGAGCTAATTTCTCCAAGGAGGAATTTCAGATCTGTATTTTTATTATGTAGATGCACGGCCTGCTTTTTCATGTTGACATGGATAAAGTAGCATGTTGTGTTGCAAGCTCTACAAAAGGAGTGGGCAAAGTGGCACCTTTCCCTCCCCTAGCCCCTCTTCTCCTCACAGATAAAGGTGAATTGTCATTCTGGAACACCCCCAGGAGTGGTGGTATGCCTTTTAAACAGGTCACAGCCTTCCTGCACCATTTAACAGCCCAGAATATCAATTTATCGAAGCTGGAAAAATTAGCCAGTTCTGGTTTCATTTTTTCGAACATCTTTAAGATGTTTTTGTGCCCAGCCCCACCAAAAGATTCCCAGGGACTTTTTTAAAAAAGGCTCATGATAGTCCATTAGTTAAAAAAGTATTCATAGATGCTCAATGTCCTTTAAGTTGTCTTGAATGATTGCAACTAAAAGTTGTGTGCATGAACTTCTGGTTTCCTTCTTTGTGCAAGGAAAGTGATAGAACACACTGTGCATGTGCAGCAGTTTCCTTTCATAAGTTCTATGCACTACATATTTTCATGCTTAATTCTGTTTCATGTGGAGAGCAGTTGAACTTGGGTGACTAGACATATACCAGTGGACCATCTACTTAAGGAATTAATCCGTATTGGAATGGTGGCTGCAAGTCGAAAAGTCTGTAGGTCGAATCTCCATTGACCTACAATGCATTGAAAACCGATTAATCCCATAATCAGCGGTTTTTATTCTATTTTTGTTCCATTTTGGGTTTTTTCTGGTCTGTAAGTCGATTCTCTGGCTGCAAGTCGCATCTAAATTTTGCAGCCAGAGGAGTCTGTAACTCGAAAAGTCTGTAAGTCGAGCCGTCTGTAAATCGAGGGTCCACTGTAGTGTTATAGGATTTGTAATCTCTGCCCAATGATAGTCCTTGTGGAAATAGTGGGAATAGGCTTTATGTGTTTCTTCTCCAGCCTCCATCTGACAACTCAGAAGCCAATTTGCTGCCTGCCATGAAGCACAAATAATGCCCTTCCTCCTTGCCATGGCAACACATGAAATGGCCTTGTTGCACCATTTGGACTTAATTTCCTACCTTTGTCTATTTCCACTTCATGGTGCAGCCTGAAGACAGCTTTTTCATTCTTCTGCAGAGCCAACTCTGCCTGCACTCTAGGGAGATCTGGAAGAGGAAGTACTGTACCTTGTTCACATAGAAATGGGATCTCTTGATTTGCCCATTTGAGTGTTGAGGGAGAAGCAGATAAGGCAGCATGTGAGCCCAAATTTGCTTCTAATATCTGTTTCCATGTGATCACAGGAAACAAATATTATCCGTCTAACATTAAGAGGGAGTAATTTGCATTTATTTGTTTCTATTTCTTGAGCATTTCTGTGCTGAAAATTTTCTTCTGCGCCACAGTTCAGTGTTACAAGGAGCACCCATATACAAATACAATCAATTTTTCAGAACCATGACACAGAAGCATACAGTAGATAAGGCAACTGATAGTTTCATATTATATTCAGTGGCCTCATATTATATCAGTCTGCCAGAACCAGCCACCAAACCAGACATTTTAAGATCTGTTTCTGAAGCTTCATGAGTGTATTGGAAGCATTTTTATAAAGTAGTATGAATGTCATATTGAAGAAAGGCCTGCTGCCTGCTGTCATAGATTTTGTCCTTTGGCAGATACATACTAAAGAATGTAAATAACAAATATGCAGGAGGCAGTCATTCAAGACCCAGACCCTTTATGAATTACAAATTACAGTGTTCAGAAATGCTACAGATACTGTGTGTGTGTGTGTGAGAGAGAGAGAGAGAGAGAGAGAGCTATCTCTAGGTATAACATGAAAGCATTTATTTACTATGTCATTATTAAACTGCTTTAGCCTATATATTTTACCTTTCGTTCTTCCAAACAGCATCTCTTCTGTGTTTCCTGATTTGCGTTACTCTTTGTATTAATGTACAGTATGATGTGGTAGTAATCTAAAAGACCTTGTTAATTTTTTCCCCAAAAGGAGTTTTCCTTCCATAGTGTGGTTGTGTATGCTGAATTTTATATATCACTTTACTGAAAGCAAGAATTCTCTATAAAGTTGCTCCAAGAACAGTTTTAAAGATTTAACCGCATAATGGTCCTATCAAAACATAAAGAAACTCTAAGATCTACCACATTTCTATTTTCCCATGATGATTTGGTGCCTGTAAGATTATGTATTATTTGTGCTTTGAAGGAAATGCTAGCTCAGGGTCAAGTATAGTGGGAATTGCAGCTTCAGTTCTTATTCTCATATCACCAGGATAATGCCTGAAACTGTGTGGGGAAAGTCAGTGCTTTGGTCCCACCCCACCACTCCAATACCATTGTTAGCCCAGTTTTTGAGGACTGATGTTGGCATGAAGAATTACTCTGAGGTAATGTGATGATTCTGCAGCTTCCAGGCATAGCCACACGAGTACTAGTCTATATAGGGACAAAGAAGCAGCTAAATAATCCGCCCTTCCTTCAAAATTCTGTTTCAGTTTTGGGTACAAAATAATTATATATTTGGATACTAGAATTGCTTTGATTAAAATGATTTCATTGTGTGATTAGGTTATATTATTTGAAATCTCCTACCTAGTATTTCAGTTTCCTGAGGCACATCTCAGTAAAAACAATTTTATTAATGTTCCTGAAAACCTTAGAGGCCTACTTCGTTACTTTTAAAAATCCTTTTGCCTTACTATAATACCGTAACATAGAACTAGGTATAAACTGAAATCCATACACAGTAGGTGAAAAGCAGTTGAACACTTAGCTGGTATCTCTGATATTCTCTCTGATCCTTTTCAGATCTTTCACTGATGTTATAATTGTCCCAGAAGTGTCATTTTACATATCCAAGTTGAGCAATAACTCTGTTTTATTTAGTTTAGCTTGTTAAATAGCTCTAAATAGCACATTATAAATGTGCAATACCCAGAGCAAGGTTTTTACTATAATTTAAATTAATAGCTGTCATTGGCCCCCATCCCCGTGCCACCAACAATTGAAATAATATGTAGCACACAAATTAAAGGTGTGGATATGAAAGATTTGTGGTCTTTGCATTTCCATTCTCTTATAGTAGAGATAGACCACTTATATTTATGCCACTGCTTGACCAGAAAGGCCCACAAAACAGCTTATAAAGGCAGCTTATAAAACAAACAAGAAAATAGAACTTCCAAAACTTAAGACAGTTATATCTTATTGGCATTTTCAAAGCAAAAAACAAAAACCTAATACTCAAATGTGCCATTCCCACTGCCTAAAGCCAGTTTAGGGAAATGTTGAATAGTGGAGGACTATAAACCAAAAGCTTGTGCTGTCAACAAGCTGGAGCATGTCTAAAGGAGGGTAATCAAGATGGTAAAAGGCCTAGCAGTCAGTCCCCATGAAGGACAGTTCAGGTTGCTGGTTATGTTTAGCCTGGAGGAGAGAGAACTGAGGACATGAACACACCGTTTGTCCCAGGTTGATGCAAACCTCTCTATTTTGCACCCTGGCATTTTAATGGCTGCCTCAGTTAATACAGAAATATTTTTATCATCCCAGAGAGGTGCATTTCTAGTGTCTATATATCACAGTCCCCTTCCCCTCACCCTTTTCTGCCACTATCATCATCTTCTACACCAACTATTGTCATCTTTTTCATCTCTTTTGCTGACATTCAAATCCCTTCTGTTTTTTTAGTGTCTAACAATTGAAATAGCACTGAACTGACAAGAAATGGTAAGCGTTTGCATTAGTGTTGTATCATTTTAGCACTGATATTTTAAAAATACGATTTACAAACTGCGTTGCAGTTGTAGTCCTTACCAGTATGAGTGGAAAGGCAGGCACAAGAAGTAGGGCTCACTCCCACAGCCCTACCCTGTTTTGTGCATCATCAGTGATGTCATCTGAACACATCCAACAATGGCCCTAAAGGACCAAGGGAAGTCCTTTCACAGGCCAAAATTACGACATATAACCATGTGAGTGAATCATATGCTACAACAATGCAAGCCCTGCTGGCCGAATAAAATGTACCACATAAGGTAGTTATTCTACAATATGGGAAGGGATGTCAAGTGGAAAATAGAGCAAGCTTGTTTACTGCAGCTCCAGAGAACAGGACCTAAAGTAACAGATACAAATTATAAAAATAGACATCTGGACTAAATGTTACAAGGAACTTCGTATCAGAGCCGTTAGTCAGGAGGATGGACTGCCTTGGAAGGTTGTGAAGAACTTTGTTTCTATGAATGGGTCATATAGCTACTTTTATGTATTTATATTCAGTGAGGGAAAAGAGATGTCTGTGTTCCCTACACAGTCTCTGTAAATCACAACCCTATTACAAATGCCTGCACAAACCCTTATAATCTAACAAAAACAAAATAAAAATAAAGAACACAAATACATTGTGGCACCTTAAAAACTAATTGCTATATTTTAATGTGAATAATGTGATTTAATGTAAAATAGCTATATTTTCATGGACAAGTCCACTTCCTCAGACATAAGAGAATGCCATGCTAGCACAAACTAACATAGCCACCTCTTCTAAAACTACTACCTTATAACCTGATTGTAAGTGGTGTAAAAAAGAGGGAGGAAAGACTGGCTAGGATTAGATAATTGGTAGTAGACACCTATCTTCCTCTTTTGCAGCTTCAGAAAGCTTGTCTAATTTCTTTTTCTTTTTTTCCCCTTTCTTCTTCACTCTCTCCCACAAGGAGAAGCCAGATAATTGGGCATCTGCCTCTTCTGGGATCATAAAGAGAAGTTGGGGCTTATTTCCATATTCAGCTAGGTACAGAGAATAAAGAGAGTTGGGAGGAAGGGGGCTGTTCTAGACAAGCCAGCCATAGTGTGAGTAGTTAGACTTACTGTGTTTAGTTACAGTTCGGCCGTACTTAAGTCAAACCTTTCATTGTGTTATTTGTGCTACATGATTGGAGTGAACTGAGGCAAGCATAACATTCAGTTTAGTTTAGATATTCCTAGGTTTCTTTTTTAAGGGTCAAACCTTCACAAGATTTCTTCCAGCATCTGAAAGTGATCAACATTCAGAGCTAAGCGTTTAACATCATGGAACATTGACGGAATTAATAAGGCAGGGGTAATAAAAATTGCAACGCCCATAAAATACAGCCCATCAGAATAACAACCCTACCAGCAAAAATAGTTTAAAGCTATTCCAGCATAAAGCAAATCAGCAGCATGATAGTGAACTTTTATGAAAAGAAGTTCTTAAAAACATTAAAAGCCAGTTAAGAGCCTGTACGAATGTCAGGCCTTTAACTGGGTTAATGTCATTTCAGCTGTGGTCCAGTTGGTTCATTAAGACCACTGCTAGTTATATTTGTTCTTTTCGCTTCTCCAGTAGTTGACTGAGTTCCCCGAACTGTGATTCACATCATCTACTATTATCTCCTGTTTTATTTTGAATTGTTTCATCACAGGGTGTTCAAGATACAAAACATTTAGAAGTGGTTTACTGTTGCCTCCTTCTGTGCTGTACTAGCGAGTTAGCTTGAATGCCACTGCAGTTGTCTATGAATGATCCTCCACCAGTGTCATTTTCCACTAACGCTCCGTAGCTGCCCTTGAGGAATTTCCCATTTTTTTCTTTATTCATATCAGAGTGTTACACAATTTTAAATTATGGACATATAGGTAAAATTAAAAATGAATTAAAACGTTAAGATAGACTATTTTTTTTACCAGAAGCAGGCTACTTCAATAGTGTCATCCTGCCATTTGCTACATCTTCTTTTATACACAAAAGTACTGCATTTATTGAATTTCTCTACAGTCACAGAAAAATTGTCCTGTATCCAAGTATTTGGTACAAGGATTTTTCTGCTCCATCACCATTAGAACCGACAATTCTCTTTTACTGATGCAGTCATTAATTCCTGAAGAGAATGAATGAATCTTTCTCAGACTTGACCCTTCTGTCTTGGGTGACCCTGTTAGGAGTCTAGACTCATTAAGAAGTCTAGTCACTTGACAATCTTGCTCTTCCTGTTATCCTCAAATCCTTGCATCATTGAAGGTGTGCATTCAAGAGGAGGTTCCATATTTTTAAAAATTCTGAATCCACTTAAACTTAAAGGAAGTACTCTTTCCTGTAAATCAAGTGTGAGCTTTTGTAAGAATGTTGTTAAATTAGCACAGCACATTGTGATGTTTTATGCTATTTTATGTGGTTATGGTAGGGTTGGTTACTCAGAATTTGTGAACTTTGCAATTACAAGGTAATTTTGGTGAAGTGTACAAAGGAACATTAAAAGATAAGACTCCTGTTGCTGTAAAAACATGTAAAGAAGACCTTCCTCAGGAGCTGAAAATAAAGTTTTTATCAGAGGCCAGGTGAGTGGTGAACATTGAATTAGAATATGCACCTGGAATCTGTTAAATTTCTACATACAGATATAGTTTTTAAAAGAAGATCTCATTCATTACATTGGCTGAAACTACTTAAAGTTTCCCACTACAAAATGAGTTTCTAAGTGGTAAAGGAATACTGTAATTGGGATGTTGGTGCTCCATTACTCTGAAATAGATATTTGTTTCTGAAAGACTGTTATATGAAGGCAGTCCAGTATAGTAATAAAGATGGGGGGGGGAGAAGTACTGTCCTCCTGTAGAAATTAGTATGCATCCTCTGGAAAATATTTTGACTAAGTTCATCTCAGTATTAAAATCATAGTTGACACAATGCTGCTGTTACACAGGTAATTCCAGTTAGGGGACTTTCCCTATCCTTGAAATCACGTTGGACAGAAATGCATTGCTTTTTTTTACCATCTTGCAACTGTGGAAATTATTATGTATCTACAGTATTATTTAAAGACTTATTTGAATTAATTGTCTTTGTAGCCTTGCTCTTCTTTTTAAACAAGGCATCTCTGTACAGAACTGGGCAGAAACCTTTTGGATGACTTACTACACAGCTATACTTGTATGGCTTATTGTGTATAGTAAGACGTGAGGTAGCTGAATTTTCATGTCCTTCTAACTTGGATTTCATATCCCTGGTCAATTAGAATAATTAAGACAAATTATCTCACTAGCTGTCTGAGAAGATAAATACCTTACTCATGCTGAATACCTTACTCATGCTAAAAGTGTGGAATGTTATTTGTATATGTTTGTCGTCTATTGTTAGCTTGTGTTGCCAGATTAAGCAGGGGAAACAGAAAGCATGCTGCTAATGTCCCAGGTTTACTCAAACACACTTAGTGCCAAGAAGGGCTAACCAGCTATGTTCAAGTGGAGCTGGTTGCCAGTGTCTGTGCTCACCCATAGCAAGATGGGCAAAGGCCAACATCCTCTGCCTTCTGCCTGGGCATCCTGCAGTTGCAGTATTTGTGTGTATGTAGACGGCATCACCTCAGATTTTTGTGGTGGGAACAAGTCAGGGCCTTGTTGGGTGTTCCTTGTAGTGGAGCCTTGTGAAGAACACATAGGGGGACCACGACAAGGAATGGAATGTACATTTTAATGCAAGTTATGCTTGTGGACTTGCTAGTTCATTCAGTGGGATTGTCCATTTGAACTCGCTGTGCAGGAGCTTTTTGGTCCTAAAGAAGAGATGGAGGTGCAAGCTCAAAAGCAGGCCTCATTTTGCTACTAGAAGGTAGCAATTTATGCCCTGTCCTTTTGATTCCCTAAGTCCTGCAACCTCAAGCTTGGGACAGGATATAGCTCCACACTGGTAGCCTTGCAGACCCCTCGGAAGACCAACGTAAATCACACCATGACTTATTTGTTTGTTAATACATGCATCTGTTAGAAGAGATGCTCTTGTAAACAGTGTTACATTCTAATTGTGTTGCACTGACTGAAATCCAGTAGCGAAACATATGCCATGTAAGGCTGATGACATCATTAGCTGCAGCAGTTTTAGGAAGTTAAAGACTGCCTCCTTTTCCCTAATCCACAGTGAGAGAGATCCCGAGGAAGTCTTAGGACCTTTAGGGGGGATTGGAAATGTTTGATTTCTGAAAAAACATTGAAGCTGATAACATCTTCAGGCTTCATTAAATGGTGTATATTCTGAATTGGATTTCATGAATAGGAAAACCGATTAGAGTGATGGAAAGGGCAGGTGTTTGCTGCATAGAGAATGATCACATATGAGTCTGACCTGTGGAATTTCAAATCTGCTCCAGAATTTTCTGGCTACTGTGAAGTTGTGAGAACCTGCTACCAGCTTTTTTACTTGCATTTACTTGTGTTTGACAGGTGTTGATTAAAACAAATGGCAGTTTAAAACTGTTTTCTCAGCATACTGTACTACAGTTTTTCAAAGAGACATTTTTACGTTTTTGTTAAATTCAGTTGAACTAATCTGAATATCACATGGAGAGAGAATAGACTGCTATTTCTTCTTATCTAAATGTAATCTGTTTATGCCATGTAATATACTGATACGATGAAATCTTTCCACCTTTGCAGAATACTCAAACAATATGACCACCCGAATATTGTAAAACTTATAGGAGTATGCACTCAAAGGCAACCTATTTATATTGTTATGGAACTTGTTCCAGGTAATATGTTTGTTTACATTATTACTTGCAATATATATTTTATGTTTTATGTTTCCTTGTATTTTTGTTTCCTTGGCAATGACTGCTTGTGCCTTTCATTTGTCTCTTTTCTGTTTTAAAAAATGTCCTTTCCCAGGCTGAATAGAAGAATTGTAGGGTCATTTTGTTTTGTCAGCAGGTGGAGACAGTGTCACAGTGATAAGCGTGTCCTATTGTAAATTTGTCCAAATCATGAGAATATATGTAACACCTGCTGTTCCATATTGGCGCTGTATACTGGATACATCTGTGAATAGCAAAAATTCTAAAACCACCCTGGGCTATAGTATTTACTGCATAAAGGAAAGGAGATACAGAAGGGACAAGGATCTTTTCAGTAATGCATATTGAGGTTTCCAGATATTCCTGATATTTTCTGTGTATTATTTTGCATGCATAACTGTTCTTCGCTTCTTTAGCTAGTCTGTGTAAGATATACTTTCATAATGTTGTTCTGTCAGGCAGTGACTACTGCTTTCTGCTTCATAATCTCTACTAAGGCAGATGTCCCTTTGGCAAAAAAAAAAAAAAAATCAGATTGGTATAGACACAGTGATAGTACCGTATTTTTCCTAACAACACTTTTTCCTAAAATAATTAGAGGCAAAATTGAGGGTCATTTTATACACAGAATGAGGTAGTCACACACGCGCTTGGGTGCCTCTTGCTGCCACCGCTGCCCGATTGCCTCTTCCAGAGCTCACGTCTTGTCCCCTCTAGTGGCTGAGGCAGCAGCAGGAGGCAGAGACAGAGGCGAAGGAGCATTCACACGCGCTCGGGCACCTCTTGCTGCTGCCTCCCCGCCTGCCTGATCACCACCTCCAGTGGGACTGATAGGGCTCAGCTCATGTAACCGCCTTGTCCCTTCCGGTGGCGGAGGCAGCAGGAGGCAGAGGCGGAGGCAAACAAGCACTCGCGCACCCTCGGGCCCCTCTTCCTGCCACTGCCACTGCCCAGATCACCTCATCCAGCAGTCGTCTCCTTAGGTCAGGGGACAAGGCAGCAACGTGAGCTGGAGGTGAGCCCCAGCTGTTGCACTGGAGAAGGTGATCGGGTGGGCAGCGGAGACAGCAGCAGGAGGAAACGGAGGTGGAGGAGCAGTTGCCCATTAACTGCTCCTCCACCTCCATCAAGGGTCAAAATCAGGGGGTCGTTTTATACATTAGGGGGTCGTGTATATGGAAAAATATGATATTTTTGAATTTTTACTGAGCTGGAACATGGTTTTAAAAAAAACAAACTTATGCCTTAAAGGTAGAGGCAGTTTTCCGATAGAAAACAAGAAAAACTTCATCTCACAAGTTCTGAAATATAAAATTAGTGTTCTGTTATTCCATGGGGCAGAGCCCCATTCAGGTGTTATTCCTTGAAGAAATGAAAGATTACATGGATAATGATGATGCAGGTGCATGCACAAGTCCTGGCCACTGTGTCCCCATCGCAGCCAGAAAGCAAAGCAGACCTTAATGTGTTGAGAGTAAAGGTCTAAAACACCCTTTGATTTCCACTGGTAATTTAGATCACAAGTTGCTTCTCCAATTTCAGAAAGTTTCTTTTTGAAAGTAATTAGTTATAGTTATAGTTCCCACTTCCACTTTCAGTTATGTTGCAGTTTTTAACAGTAACATTTCTTTTTTTCTCAAAAGTAACTAAGTTTTAAACTACTTTTTAAATAAAATGGGAAGAGGTAGCTGTCTTTAAAAATGTGAACATTTCATAGCTCCAAACTACTGGCCTATCATAAAAATATACTTCTCCAGTCTACCTCCTTATTCCCTCACCTACCATGGAACGCAAAACAGAGCATGAGCCAACATTTGAACCTTTTTGTGTTCCTCTTCCACCATTTACTGACACCACTAAAGATGAAAGAAGAACCTGGGCCCACACCTGTTTTTAAAAGCCACCTTAAACAGCAACATGAACTCCCAGTATTCTGACAGTAAAAGCATTGGTGTTGGTCCTTCAGGCATCGCCTGAATAGATAGATAGATTGGGAAAGGGGCTTAGGAAAGAAAAGGAGTCCATGCTGCATCCTTTGAGAGCTGAATGATATACCTGTATGATTTGGAGTTTCTGTATCCTTCCTCTACAGTGGTCCGGAGATACAGGTGTCCCTGACACATGCTGCAACCCTATTAACATGAGGTGGGGGGGAAGTGGGGCTGAATTTTAGATCATGTTTGACAAAAGTTGTCCCAGATTATTTCCCTAGATATGTACCTATTGTTTAAATAATGTGAGATTTGCTGGAGCCAATCAGAAATAGTCCTAGTGCAACATTCTGATAACTGAATTTCTGGCTCAGTAAGCCAAACAGTCCATTTTGATAGTTATACTGGGACATGAAATTCCCTTACATACTCAAGAATTGTCAGACACAGAGTGCATAAGCGCAAGAGAGACAAACATAGCAGGAGGGATGAAGCACCATAACAGTCAAAAAGATTGGACCCAGGGATAGAGGGCTGAAAGTTGCATTTAATAAATGTCTGCAGCCATGTTGATCCATTAGAATAAAAGCTTCAGAATCAGCCGTGAAGTTATATAATACTGAACAAGCTTTGTAGGATTCAGACTGGATGATATGTTAAATAAAAATAAACCTCAGAAGGGTAGAAGGCGACTGGGGACATGGGAAAGAGTTCCAGAGTGAATAATTTCAAATTGTAAAGAAAGAAAGAAAAAGGTAATGTCAGTGTTAAAGCTCACCTCCCCCCCCCCCGGGACTCATGATATTTTGTGTTCATGATGGGATTGTGGTATGTATGTGAGAGTAAATCTAATAGCACAAATCCATGCTTCGTCCTCCATGTTGTCCATGCTTCCACTGGATGTGGCCTATTAAAACGTATGATGCGACATTCTGCCCATGTTTTTGACCACCACAGTCTTTTCTTGCTAGTCTCAAGAATGTAAAAGCTTTACTCATGTCTGGACATGGCACTAGCAAGATATAAACAATGGGGATATCTTCTGTACATAGTATTTGGTATCTTTGGGTAATATTTAGTAACAAAAGCTTTAGGTATAGTAAAACTAAAAAGCAGTTTAGTTCCAAAAGCTTGCTCTGTTGAACACTGAAGGGTGAGAGGGCAACTTGTTTCAGATAAGGGATCAAGTGGTACCTGAAAGTAAGGAAAAGCTGTGGTAGTCCAGCAATTCATTTGTTGTGTGTATCCCATTCTAACCTAGGAGGCTGTGTATGAGAAGGTTAGGTCCAGGCAAATGAAAAGCAAAATAATAAAGCTATGCAGGGGATGGGGGGGGGACTGCTGAAACTGAGAGATCAGTTTTTGAAGACAAGTAGAGTAGAATAAGAATAGGCCAGGACTCATAGCAGAGCCAGCAGATCATAATTCAGAGTCATGGCGATATGTATAACAATTTACAAGGAGAGTTGGGTAGAAAGTATGCACTTGAAACAAGGAAATCTGAAGTGAACCTGAAACTGGAGGAATTGGTGTGCAAGGTGTGCCTAGCATGGTTAACTGAGGAGCAGCAACTGCTAAGACCATAATGGCATCATTTTCACATGTAGAGAGCGCATAAGATAATGGTCTAGGCCAGGGCAAGGTATGGGAAGACACTTTCTCCGTTGCGAGTAAAAGCTATTCAGAAATGCCTAGTACTGCAAAGTAATAGTGATGCTCCATAGACAGTCCCTGTCAGTGGAGTTATTTCTGCTTGTTGTATCTCTCTTTTAGGATCATAAACACATTACAGCTGTATGGCAGTTGCTTTCCTGGTTTATTTTGGGCAAATAGATCATCTGAGTCTTTTTCTACAAGCAAAAGATGCCATTTTGCTCAGTGCTGCAGTCATAAATGTAGGTTGAATGATGCCAGGCAAAATTCTGCTCACAGCTAATGATTCAGACGGTCTGTCAGAGCCACACTAGCCAAGAGCTTCTGCAAACAGAGTGGTCATATAAGGTCAAAAATACAGTAGCAGAAGGATCCATATGAGTTAGGGGACTCTCATCCCAATTTCACTTGTATCTCCACCTTTTACAATGTTTTCAAAATATATTGGGCATTTCTCTTCAGTGGAATGGGCAGAAAAATGTACTTTTCTTTAAAGGATGGGCAAGTGGAGATACCCTAGATAAAATGCTTTTGGGTTTGCCTCTGAAGCTGTTGTTTCTCCGTATTATAGCCTTAGCTGGGAGCCAATAGCCTAGTTCAGTTCTTAATTTGTTACTTCTAAACGTATGTGGTTTTCATATGGTTTAAGAGAGATACAATCCCTGCTAAATCACTGGCTTGTTTTTTAGTGTCAGAATATAGCTGTAAAATTCATGCCAGCGTGCTGTTTATTACTTTACTATTTCAGAGCATATTCCCTTTTCATTGCATCCATCAAAATATTGCTGATGCAGCACTGGATATTTTTGGATACTTTAAAACAATATTCCATTATGCTTTGTTTGGTTGCTCTAATGTTTAATTTTGTGCCTAATATTCCAAAACAAATGAGCCTGGAATAGCATTATCTGACCACTTATTATCACAGTGAATACACATTAATCATTTAAAATAGAAGCTAATCCCTTAATTTGTGTATCACATAAGTTTAAAGCCTGTTAGTATGCTATGTAGGGAACTATACTGACATTTTTATCTAATAACTAGGCTATTAGATTATACCACTGCTTATTTTTACTGAAAGGATAGGGAGGGGTGGGAGGCTGAACTAAAAAAGACAGGCCACCAATTCTGCAGCTCCCCCCCAAAAAATAAACCCTGAACTGCTGTGACCATAATACTAATAATTTATGTAGCAAATTGTGGGCTGGAGAAGGTCCCTCTGCTTCCAAACCTGTAGTTCACCTGTGGACTGGGGTGTTGGTGGTAGAAATGTGAATGACATCCTCAAGGCCACAGGTATAGCCATGGCCAGATGGGGATTTAAGGAGGGAAGCGACATAGGGAGGAGGAGGAGGATTGTTGGGCCAACAC